GCTCCCTGCCCCACCCTGCCGTCTGGTTCCGCCTTGCCCTCCCGCTGCCCCACAACTTGCCGTCGTTTTGCAAGGTATAAGTTGTGTATGTGGTTGTCGGCCATCGTGCCGTTTTATTTGTTGCAGGTTTTGGAAACCTCCCCGTGCAGGGGGGGTGCTGCCGAAATTTAGATTTGACACTATTATGTTCCTTTTATTGCAGGAGAGGCTATTGCAACGTCCTCGACTCGTCACTTTGTAGGACAGCAAGGTGAGGCATAAAAGACCCTTCTTTCCGTATCATGTTCGTATATCACGTAACCTAACTAGGCGTCTCCCGTTCGAAAGATATACGGTTGGAAATATGCAAGTTCTTGAAGAGCTTGAACTATCCTTTTTCAATTGGAACCAGGTTTAAAGTTGGCTGCGAGAATGAAGATGCTAACGAGAGGTCTACATTCTTTTAACTTCGGAAATCATTTTTCCATGTACAACAGTATCTTGAATTGTCTTCTATGTTTGTAGGTCCTTTGGATTGATCTCAGGTATTAGTGAAGTTGATCCCATACGCTGGCCTGGATCAAAATGGAAATCTCTCCTGGTATGATTTTAGACGTCCTGTTTTTCCTAGCCAAAGAGCCATAGCCAGATTTTCCTGTCGTTCTTAATTGTGGTGTACTACTGATACCTTCTAACAAGTCATATTAACCCATTGAATTCGATCGGACTAGCTTGCAATGAACTTCAACAAGTCGGTAAACTTTGGTCTTCCACTTGCTGATTTTTTGGGTGGAAGTAGGATCATCATTAAGGTTGAACCTAAGCTGGCTATATATATGTGGGGGAGGAAAAGTGTAACCTAGAGTTGTTTGCGTACCCAAATCTAATATGGTCAACAACTATGCTTAAATATGGTGAGATAAAGGTGTAAAAGATTCTTGGTGCTTTTATAATCTAACCTCCTATACAATATAAATAGAAATGGATCTAGTTTTTAATACTTGTTTAGACTTAATGTATGTCATGGGGATACTTGACTTTCCTTCTTCTCATCTGTTTGCATGATTTACAGGTAAAGTGGGATGGTGATACTAAGTACAGCCACCAGAATAGAGTATCTCCATGGGACATCGAGAGAGTTGGCAGCTCTACTCACTGTATTTCGTCTTCTGTTTCGAAGCGAACAAAGTTGTGCTTCCCCCAAGGTGATTTTGACGCGCCAATTCTAGGTAGGTTCCACAGCATGAAACTAATACAGATTCATAGCTAAAAGGTTCCTTTAGTCAGGTCCATTTAACTATTTGCGTGAAACATGTAGATGGAAATGGTCGTCCAGACTCCATGGAAACTGAACGTTTCCACCGGGTCTTGCAAGGTCAAGAATTGGTGCACTCTAGGATTCATGGTGTTGCATGCTCTCATTCATCAGATAACCCCAGATGTCAAGGCTCCTATGGAAGGAGATTCTCTGCCGATGTGTGGAACTGCAAGATGAATGATTCAATGAGTGGGCCTCGACACCTAAATGCTACTGGGTTTGCTTACCAGCCCCTAGGCTTCAGTGAATGTGTCAAATTCTCAGAGGTCTTGCAAGGTCAAGAAATGTCTCAGGTGGTTCCTTCCTTCATGAGAGCTGCTTTCAACGCTGGCACACAGAATGGCAGGGTTCGATCATTTGATTATGTGCAGAGATCGGCTGCAAGTCAAGGATATGCTCTCCAGCAGTTTAATATGCCAGCAACAGAAGTGCATTCGCCCTCTTCTGTTCTTATGTTTAACCAAACCATGGTACCACAGCCTGAGTTAGATGGTGTGACCAACCGTGAAGAAGCATATGGCGGTGGGTACTCATCCATTGCAATACAGAGAAGCTGAACCATGGCCATCCACGCAGCAGCAAAGAGTGAGTGAAAATGGAAGCGAGCCTCTTGACACAACTGAAGCCTCAGCTCCTGCAAGGATAGCTAAATCTGGATTGGTCGACAGGGGCGTCGGGCGAAGCAGATGTAAGCTTTTTGGTTTCTCCTTGACTGAGAAGATCCTTGGAACAGAGGGAGGTGGTGTGAAAGAAGGGAACTACGAAGCGGACCGGCAAACTCCCCGGGTGCTAGACTTGTTTGGCCACGGCCATTCTACGCCCGGTGCTCTGCATGCTCTTTGCGCTGCTCCCTTGGGAATGATGATGTTTTACTTAGTGTTATAGTAGTTAGATTTATGTAATCCTTCTGTCATGTCCATAGTGTTGGACATGGACTATCTGGGCAAAGCCGCAATATGTCCCACGTAGTCGGTAGTCAACAGTCCTGCCTGTTTAATTTGGCGTTTTTCCGGTATGAATTCCAGACATCCTCTTTTCAGATCCATGCATGCGATTTCTGGCAGGCACATGCGCTGCTCTGGCAAAATTCTGATCTTCAGTCGCTGGTTTTGAACTTCGACGGTCCGGCTGTTTTCATTAGGAAAATGCTATTACAAGGTCGTCCGTGCCGTGTCCGTGCCATCCGCACGCTTCAGCGGACAGGACCGATAGGCGTGCTCACCTTTATGTTTCTTCTACCTCTAGAATTTTTCTCCACTCGCACTTGTATCGGTGTCGCGGCCTCTCTGTGCATCCGCCTGCCCCGCCGCGCCCTCTTCCCTCACCGTGGCCCATCCCCCGCTGCGCCGTGCCCTTCCCCCACCGTGCTGCACCCAATCACTGGCCACGCTGCACCCCAACACCCGCGAGCGGACGATGCTAGACGACTGTGGCAGAGCAGTAGCGGCGCTAGAGTAGCCGCAGCGGGGCCGCGCCCACGGGCGTGAGCCTGGGCCGCGAGCAGGTGTTGGAGAATGGCAGGAGGAGCGATAGGCCACGCTGACGGTTGACGGGCGCAAGCGCGCGGAGCGACCCCTGACCCGAGCTTACTGGCTACCGCAGTTCCTCACTTGGTTGGCCGTGGTTGCCGGCGATGCCGTGTTTTAAGTGTTTCGGGCGTTTTAGGCTTATGTTTCAAGTGTTTCATCTAAATGTTGCAAAAGTATATCCGAGATGTTGCAATGACAATATACGCTTGTTTCAAGCGTATGTTTTCAAGTGTTTCAGGCGTATGTTTTAAGTTTTTCATCTGGACGTTGCAAAAGAAGATCTGACTACATATACATGCATATGTTTTGCAAATGGCTGCACACGTGTTTTTCAAGTGTTTCAGACATATATTGCAAATGTTTTAGCTGTTTCGGACTTATGTTGTAAGTGTTTCATCTGGGTGATGCAAAAGTAGATCTAGAATTTTGTTGATTTAATTAGAAAAATAGATCAAGTCTAGTTAAATCCCACGATTGCCAGCACAAGGAAGATTGACCGCCACAGCAAGGCAACATACTTATTGTGCTGTAGGTACTTGATGGTCGCTTTGGTTGTACATAAATGATTTGGTGTTTGAAAAGAAACATGTTCATTTTTCTTTATAGGTGTTACATTTGTTATCCATTGGCTTCGTACATGGGATATCCTCCAAAAGGTTACTTCACGAGCTTTGGTTGCAGCGGCATCGCAACAAGTGGCGCAAGCGGTTATAGTTTTTTTTTCTCCCGATTATATGGGTAACGATCTAGTTTTAGGATTGATAGTCATTAGAGTGACTGGCTTCTCTTTGTTAGGGTGTATGCTTTTATGCAGAGGCCAGCTTGAGTTCATAACTATTGTATCAACTCAATGTACCAAATGATTCTTTTTTTTAAACAATTCGGCATACTTTATTCATTCAAGACAGTTACATCACTTGCTAGGCAATAGTATGAAGCTAGGGGGCTCATTGTCCCAAGTACAATTTTACTTACATTGCATCGCTCTTCTTGCTAAATTATGCGCCGCTTGATTTGCCTCTCTATTACAATGCTCAATCATAATATCCTGAAACCTGCTCCATATGATGCTACACTCATCATATAAGGCGGTTGCTGAATTTGCCGTGAAACCTCCATCCTTCATTGTTTGTACGACCTCCATGCAGTTTGATTGTATAACTAGCCGGTTGCACTCTATGGGTTGCGCTAGCATCAATCCTTCTTTCAACGCGTAGGCTTCCGCCATCGGTGCATCGCCCCAGTCATGCAAAACCCACTGAAACCAGATAAATAAAAGATGGACGAATAAAGTTGATCGATCAGTAATAACGAACGGGTTGGCCATATATATGTTTTCACCACCATCTCCAACAGCATAATAAAAACAGTGTAAATCATGGCTGATCTTATGGCTACTCCCACACTACCACACCCCACATCTTCATCAAAGGCCGCATTAACATTCACCGTCACTTTCCCTTCTGGAGGCTTCAACCATCCCTGCCGTATCTTTGACCCTCTCTTCATTGCCGCTTTATAATTTTTTTGTTAGCGCCGCAATAGACATGGCTGATCTTGAGGGAATGATTGTTAATTAATAAAATCCTTTCCTTATGAAAACACTTATTGTGACTACAAGTTGACACACGTCCAATATTATTAGGTAACCAAAGAACAACTTATTACTGAAAAAAAGGAAAGTCCTATTCACCAAACAATTATGGGTAGACCTCAATGATGGATCGAACACCAAGAATGGGTATGATTTTGTAATCACTAAATCCAGCTTCAAAAATGATCTTCTTCCACTCTTGCTCGTCTCGCTCGACGCCGTTGACAAACATAATGAAGAGATCAAACAAGACCTGGGTCTCTTTGTGCTTAATGTTTGACGATTGGCCCCCAATAACCATATCTAGGATTATCACCTTTCCTCCTGCATCCCTGGGAGGTATAGCTTTCTTACAATTCTTTAGTATCTTGATACAATCAGCATCGCCCCAGCCATGCAAAACCCACTGAAACCAGATAAATAAAAGATGAACGAATAAAGTTGATCAGTAATAACGAACGGGTTGGCCATATATATGTTTTCACCACCTTCTCCAACAGCATAATAAAAACAGTGTAAATTCGCGTATAGAGGCCAAATCAAACAATTAAAAAAAACAGTACTAGTAAAGTACATGTACCTTAAGGAAGACGGCGTCTGCCGGTGGAATGTTCTCAAACATGTCACCAGCAATATACTTCACACTGGTGCTAGCGGGAGCATTGGCGGCGACATGCGGGAGATCCAGCACGCTGCACTGGACATGCGGGAACGCGGTCGAGATAGCCATGGCCGCCCCTCCGAACCCTCCAGCGACGTCGACAATGGAGCTCAGCCCCCAGAAGACGTCGCCGCACTCATTGACGACGATGTCCATGATGAAGCTGCTGTCACAGACCATCCCCTGGTTGAAGAGCTGGCCGAAGGCAGGGTTGTGGTGGTTCAAATCCCACGCAGTCTGCCCATGCGTCATCTCAAACAGGGACGGATCTGAGTGCTCTTGCTGGAACCACGTGCCGAGGCCAAGGAAAGGGGACACGAAGATCCCATGCAACACCAGGGACAGGAAGGGAGTCAGGCTTGAAGAGCCGCCAACCAAGAGCTGAGACGCCGGCGTGAGCCCGTAGACGAGCTCGCTGCCGCCAGCGTCGTCGTGGTGGGCGGCGCTGAAGATGCCGGTGGCCGTGAGTACTCGCATGAGGCGACGCAGGCAGGGGATCTTGGACTGGTGGAGCGTGGGCATGGCCCTGGACCCTATCTGGGCCAGGGTGGCGTTGCCACCGTGGCTGTGGATGGCGTCGGCGATGCCAAGGTCCAATGCAGACTTGAGCGCCATGGACTTCATGTAAGCAAAGGTAGTGTGCCAGAGCTCTAGCTGAGCGTCAAGCAAAGCTTGGTTATTATTAGTGCTTGTGGTGAGCGCCATGGTGCTGTTGTGCTACTGCACGCCGTGTACTGAATTGATTTGTGTGGAATTGAGGGTTAGAACTCTCTCTCTCTATATAGACGCGCGTGCAGTGTACAACGAACAGATGAAGTGAACATGCGATGTGCACTTTAGTTTAATCACAGAGTATTAACTCCTTTCTTTTAATTTAACTACTAATATAGAAACATTATTTGCATGTGTTAAACGCGTTGGCCCGCCGCGGTTCCTCTAGCAGCGATGGCGATTGTGTCGGTGCTGAGCACTGAGCACCTGTTAACGTGCAGACAAGGGAATCAAGTGGACGCGAGAACCCATCACTCACGTGAATACCATGTATTCTATAATTATCTAACAGTATTTACTCCCTCCTTTTCAAATTATTTGACGTTTTGGCTTTTGTAGATACACTTCAGAGAATCACTCCTCTCTGGAAAACTGTTTGCAGAGTTCCCGCTGGATTTAGCAGAGAATCACCTTTGAGAGCTCTGCCAAATGAGATTACAGGTTGTAATTCTCTGTTGATAGTGTAAAGTGATTCTCTGCAATAAATTAAGAGACTAAGAGCTAAAAAAAGTAGCATCTCCTAATTCTACAAAGTGATTCCCCTTTCGGCTCTGAGCAAAATTAATGCATAATCTACAGAGTGATTCTCCATTACGATTTTAAGAGTTTATCCTAAAGAATAAAAGAGAATCACTTTCAGCCATATAATTACTTCTATGCCATAAGTAGTTACAAAGTACTCCTTGCAGCCACGAAATTACTTATATGCCATAAGTACTTACAAGTACTCCTATGATCCTATCCTCCAACACGATGCAGATCGATTTGCTCTCGTAACTCCCCACGTGACTCGTGACTGTAGCGCCGCCGCCACCGCTCTCCGCCTCCACCGTTTTAATAAGTTTTTCTAGTAAATCGAGTCCTTAGGCTTATGGTCTCTCTATGCCAAGTTTCTTGGTTTTGGGGATTTATCTTCTCCTCTCCGGCGACGGCGAGAGGGCAGGGTGGAATCGTTTTCTCCATGGCGGCTCTGTTGAAGATGGGGCGACAACTACTGCGTCAGCATCCTCACTGGTATGACGACATAGAGACTTTTATTTTTGGACGACGACATCACGGCGGAGATGGTGTCGCCGCCATGGAATAATTTTCTCTGGTCTCTTCTCCGTTTTATTGTGGTTAGATCTGGCCACGATGAAGGACTAGGGAATATAAATTTTAGATCAGTCTTCGTCATTCTTTGGTGGCAGAAAGAAGGAAGACACCAGAAAGAAGAAGGTTCTCAATTCCGCCTACATGAATGTTGGCCGTCATTCGTTGGGCATCTGTTCTCAGGCCTTTTGCTGAGTCTTTACCTGTGTGGTCATCCATACTGCAAAGTGTCGTACATGTTTGGTTTTGAGATCTGGAGCTATATATTCACAGCGTGGGTATAATTTAGATGAAAATGAGTTTATGGATATTTCTGTAATCCAGAGTGCTTGTAACGTGTTGATGTAGCTTGCTATTATCTAATATAATTCTGGTTTCGTCGAGAAAGAAATGTCACCGGCCGTATTTTGTTGAGAGGATATATTTTTTTCACAGATAGATCTCACCATATCATGTACTGGATCTTTGCTATAGAAGAAGTCACTATCGGGACCCGGAATTTCTCATCCAGTGTTATTAAGCCGACAGACATTTAAGAAAATCCTGACACGGAGATATGATTGGCCAGCACTGAAAAGCCTGCAGACTTATCTGGCCATCACTGATAAGCAAACATATGAAATGCACGTTCAAATATACCATACAAGTTCATGAGTTTGCTCCCCCTACTTGTGTGCTCAAAATTTTAATTGATTCCTTTCCTTTATCATATCTCTCCCCCTATGTCAAATTCTCCCCCTATCATTTATATCTTTATTTCTCTCTCGTTTGGTGTCTATTTACTATCTTTGTGCACTATTTCTCCTCCTTTGTCATCAAGGATCATAAAGGTTTAAAAATTAGATAGGTTAGGATTATCAATATCAATCAATGGGGTGAGGATCATTTTCTCAAATTTAGTCCAATCTAGATCATTTGCCAAAGATATTTAACTCGCTTTGATCCAAGGACAAGCTTCTTCACACCTCCAAATAAGGGTTATCTTGTACCATGTTGAGTTAAATACTTAGAGCTCATTTTCTAGATTAAACACTAGGTTTACAAGCCCACAAACATGTCATATGTTACCACTAGATCAAAATAAGCATAGAAGCAATAGTGGTACCATACAATCATCAAATTTATTTGATTTTCATGAATGAGCCTAATAAAATGGAGAGATGACTAGATGCACTAAACATGTCCTTAGCAAGGATGTATGCCATGCCAATCAACTTTTACCTTGGATTGCTCGAAGGAGAGGCATGTCATATAAGTGGGGGGTGCATCAACACATATTTGAGAAATCCAATAAGTTCAACTCATTCCTTAGCTTGCAAAACCTTTTCTCATCCAATGGCTTGGTGAAAATATCGGCAAGTTGATCTTCGGTGCCTACACTCTCAATGCAAATGTCCCCTTTTTGTTGGTGATCTCTTATGAAATGGTGGAGGACATCAATGTGCTTTGTTCTTGCATATTGAACCGGATTGTTGGTTAACTTGATTGCACTCTCATTGTCACATAGCAATGGCACTTTCTTAAACTTGATTCCAAAGTCACTCAAAGTGGCCTTCATCCAAAGTACTTGAGCACAACAACTATCGGCGGATATGTATTCGGCTTCGGCGGTTGATAATGCAACACTATTTTGCTTCTTTGATGACCATAAAACAAGTGATCTTCCCAATAATTGACATGTGCCCGAGGTGCTCTTCCTTTCCACCTTGCATCCCGCATAATTCGAGTCGGAGTAACCAACTAGCTCAAACTTTGCTCCTTTGGGATACCACAACCCGACATTTGGTGTATGCTTTAAGTACCTCAATATTCTCTTTGTAGCCTTCAAATGACTTTCTCTTGGTGAGGCTTAAAATCTTGCACACATGCATACACTAAACATGACATCCAGCCTTGATGCGGTCACATAGAGTAGGCTTCCAATCATAGACCGATATAATTTTTGATCCACCATGTTGCCACTTGCATCACTATCCAAGTTACCATTTGTTCCCATTGGTGTGCTAATGACTTTGCTATCACTCATGCCAAACTTCTTGATCATGTCCTTGATATACTTGCCTTGACTCACAAAAGTACCATTCTTCAATTGCTTGATTTGAAGAACAAGGAAGTAACTTAACTCTCCAATCATGGACATCTCAAACTCTTTAGCCATCATCTTTCCAAACTCATCACAAAAGTCTTGATTGGTTAATCCAAATATGATGTCATCAACATAGATTTGCAATACAAATAGATCTTTTCCAATCTTCTTGATGAAAAGAGTGGTGTCAACCTTGCCCATCATGAACCCTTTAGAGAGTAGGAAGTCCCTCAATCTCTCATACCATGCTCTAGGTGCTTGCTTCAAGCCATATAATGCCTTCTTCAACTTGTACACATGGTTGGGCTTCTTATCATCTTCAAAACGGGAGGTTGCTCAACATATACTTCTTCATTGATGTAACCATTGAGAAATACACTCTTAACATCCATTTGATAGAGCTTGATGTTGTGGGCACAAGCATAGGCTAGCAAGATTCTAATTGCTTCCAATCTAGCAACCAAGGCATATGTTTCTCCAAAGTCAAGACCTTCAACTTATGTATAGCCTTGTGCTACCAATCTTGCTTTGTTCCTTACTACTATCCCATCTTGATCTTTCTTGTTTCTAAAGACCCATTTGGTTCCAATCACATTGTGTCCCTTTGGTCTCTCTACTAATTCCCAAACTTGATTTCTTGTGAAGTTATTCAATTCTTCATGCATAGCATTCACCCAATCAACATCCTTCAATGCTTCATCTATCTTCTTTGGTTCAATGGATGACACAAATGAGAAGTGCTCATAAAATGAAGCCAATCTTGATCTTGTTTGAACACCTCTTGAAATATCACTAATGATAGTGTCCAATGGATGATCCCTTGCAACATTGGTTGTTTGGATGATTGGAACTTGATTGCTTGCACTTGCTTGATCATTGGGTTGAGATGATGTACTAGCCAATTGATCTTGTTCATTGTCATGAGAGCCACTTGTACTAGCTTGATTTGTATCATCTTGCACATTTGAGTTAGAGAGCACTTGCACTTGATCATCTTCATCATCATTTATTTGCCTAGGTCTCAATTCACCAACATCCATGTTCTGCATGGCATTTGAAAGTTGAATGCCTCTAACATCTTCCAAGTTCTCATTCTCTACTTGTGAACCATTGGTTTCATCAAATTCAACATCATGAACTTCCTCAAGAGTACCACTATCCAAATTCCAAACTCTATATACTTTGCTTGTAGTGGAATAACCAAGTAGGAATCCTTCATCACATTTCTTGTCAAACTTGTCCAATCTAGTGCCTTTCTTCAAGATATAGCATTTGTAACCAAAGACCCGAAAATATGCAATGTTGGGCTTTCTACCATTCAATAGCTCATATGGTGTCTTCTCTTTCAATGGGTGACAATAGAGGCAGTTGCTACAATAGCAAGCCATGTTGATAGCTTCGACCCAAAAATATTGACTTACATTGTACTCACTAAGCATAGACCTTGCTATATCAATGAGTGTTCTATTCTACCTCTCAACAAGGCTATTTGATTGTAGAGTGTACTTGGCTGAGAATTGATGTCTAATTCCAAATTTATCACATAACTCATCAATTCTAGTGTTCTTGAACTCACTACCATTGTCACTTCTAACTCTCTTGATGGTTGTTTCAAACTCATTGTGAATGCCCTTGACAAATGTTTTGAATGTTACAAACACATCACTTTTGTCCACTAGAAGGAATACCCAAGTGTATCTAGTGTAATCATCCACTATCACAAAGCCATATTTGTTACCACCAATGCTAGTGTATT